AACGTGCACAAGCATCTAACCGAGCCTGGGCCGTTCATTGAGGCCCTGAGACTTATTCTTTTTGGTAATAAAATACTAGGCCCAAACTGTTAAGCCAGGCCAGATTCCAATTCAGATTCCAATATGCAGTCTTATTGTTAGAACTAAAAATCAAAACAGTCCAGAAACTTATTCAAGTTGTCCTATTGATATCAACCTAATACTGCCCAGTTTTAAATACCGAAATTGAACATTGGATGCAATCTATACTACATATAGGATTAAACATTGGATGCAATCTTCCCAGAAATTAATTACATAACAGAATTAAAATCCATTGCACAGTTCCGATATTCAGTCCAGTTATACAATCCTTAGTTGATTACATACAACAATGAAGTCCTAATCAATCACAAATAAAGCAAAGGAGTTCAATGAGGCGGCCTGATCAGCACTTCATTTCATTTCAAATGCCTGGGAAATACAAGATGTGTACCTGATATTCACAATACAACAGGACGAGGAGGAGTTAGCAATAGCAGTGCAGAGAAGTTGGCAACAGCAGTGCAAGCAACAGTAATTCGAATTTCGAACAGCAGACAAATACCAACGATTTCAACCCCAGAAATAACTCAATGATCCAGAATTATTGCCAAACCAAACCAGATTCATACAGCAAATCTCATACAGTACCAAAATTGACCAGAAATGAGCTTAACCCTAACACAACCCGTAAATGACCAACAATTAATTCGAACCAAGCAAATCTCATGCACATCTGACTTGACCAGCTTGTAAATATCAATGTCAAGCAGAATCAGATGAATTTAAATTACTTCTCATCCTTAATGAGCTAGGAAGTTGGATTAGGGACTAAGATCTGAAAATGATCTAAGGAGGGATTAATGTAATAGTAATTTTTGATTTTTTTCTGGAACTTGTGGAGAATCAGAGAGATGACTTTGGGGAGGGGTCGAGATGGCTGTTCAACTTGTTCCTCAAGGCAAATGAATGCCTATTTATAGGTGAACTTAATCCAATTTCAGATTTTTCCCTTTACCCCCTTAGTCCCTATTCTAATTTCAGTGTTTACCCCATTATTTTCTGACTTGTTACACAAGAAACTACCTTAAGTTTATTAGAACCTACACTATAGTCCATCCTAGAAGGTTCTATACTTGTTACAATCCCTATTCTATCCTTACCCCCCTTTAAAAATTACCAAATCTGATGAAAGTACCCTTTTCCTATGCCTAAACTACCCTTTGAACCTCCTGAAATTACTAACCTACATTAACTACACTAAACTTTCTAACTGACCCTGGTTCAAATAACTATTTCTGCAAATTAACCAGCCACCAATCCAATCGCAAGTCCTAAATTCAAATAACTACTGATTTTTTGGATTAACAACTACTAATAACAAATCAAAGTAAAACAGCGCTCAAATAGTATTGATCAAAACTGTAAGCAAACAGATTCGACACACACAACTAATAGAACAAACTTATTCATGAAGCCTGGAGAAGATTTAAGCAACTCAAAACCTAAACTAAATCCTAAACATGATCAATCCTAATTCTAAAGAACTCAGTCACAACTAAATTGACAAACGATCCAATTCTCATTATTAATTAAAAGACAATGAAGAATAACAAATAAGAAACAGGCTAATCTATTTGAACACTGGTTCAACCGAAAAATGAGGAGAAATAAACGCAAGCCCTAAATTGATTGATCAAGAGGAAGTATCAGTCAAGAGGAAAAGACTAACGAAGAAGAATCGAGGAAAACTTACTTAACTTGAGCACTTGACTGGCTATGGGGTGAACTCTGACCGGTCATTTGTTTGAATCCTCCGGGATTCTTGACGCGTAACATCCCTAATCGTGTGTTTTCAAAAGAACACACATGATTAGGGAAATCACGGTCCAAAATCCCCAAGATTTTCTGAGCTAGGGTTCTGCCGGAATTGAGATTTAAAATTCGTAACGTTCCGGCAATATTCGAAAGATTCTAGTTAAGGACTCAGGTGGAGGGAGGTCAGAAGAGTATATGGTGTAAATTTGGTTGGATTTGGGTGAGTTGATGTTTTGGCCCAGATTTTCGATCTAATATTTGAGCAATTCCGGCCATGTTTGAGGCAAGTGGCTATGGGGGTTGGGTAGAGGAGGTCAAGGCGGTCCCTTGGTGTTAATTTGGGACCGTTTGGCATAACCGGCGACTTGGCCGGAAAATTTTAAACGGATATTCGACGAGTTCCAGTAAGATTTGAAAGCAAAGGACAGTGGATTCGGGTAAAGGAGGAGAAGGGGAATCTGGGGTGTAATTTTGGAGTTGATCGGAGCTTCGCCGCCGGCGGCGGCGATTTCCGGCCGGCGGCGGATGGCGGAGGGACGGTGGGGCTAGGGCGGAGGAGGGTGGTGATGCGGAGGCGTTATACCGGCGTTCCAGGGGGAAAATGGGAGACGGTTGAGGGGTAGGGGGGAGCCTTATCCGACATTTATAAATTAAATCCTTATCAGTTCTCAGCCGTCAGATCTCTCTACCTCGACGGCTGAGATTGATCGGAATCAAACGGTGTCGTTTGGGCACCTCTTGGACCGGACTGGGTCGGGGTAAACTGGACCTGGAAATTGTTTGGGCTACCTGATTTTGGCCCAAATTTGGTCTTTACTCAAGACCAATTTGAATTTTCTCTTTTTCTTTTATCTATTTTTGTATATATATTTTTTGTATTTATTTATTTTTTCTGATTTTATAAAATGCTAAAACAAAGTAAAGACCTAATTACACTATTTAACTCCTAGAATTACTTATAACTCTATTTAAAGACAAATGCAACTATTTTCTTGCAATTTTCTTTATATTTTATTCTAAAATTAATTACTAAAGTTGTGAAGTTAAATCCCTAAAGGCCACTACCTATTTTTTGGTATTTTCATATGGATTAAAATGCACAAATAAAAATGCAACAATTACCAAAGGATGCCACAAAATTCACAAAAAAATTATAAATACTAGAAAAACTGTTTTGTTTGAAATTTTGGGAATTATAGCTTAGGGCAAAAATCACGTGCCCACACAAAGTAGAAGGAAATTGCACGCCAATAAAAATACACAATGATATGGGTTTTAGGGTGTATGTAGAGTTGAAAAAAGAGAACAGAGAATTCGGGATGTATCCTTTGTGCATAACAACAATTGACAAAGAAGTTGTAGCCGGAGGTAGTTTAATTCAAGGCGACATTGTCAAAATGGAAGAAGCAGTTCAAAGGTATAATTTCGATACAGATGATACCCTTGCCCTTGATGTTGTCAATTCAGGCGAACCAATTGGGGTGTTCGAACTGGACAAGGATTTGCTAATTTCAAAAACAAATCAAAGGGAGATTATGGTTGGACAAGTATATAAGGATAAAGCTACATTGAAAGAGGTGATGGACCATTACGCTATATCAGAAAGGTTTCAATTCCGGGTAGATAGGTCTAATGCAATCAGGTTTGAGTGTTCTTAAGTATTCATTATTTTTTTGTATATTGTATTTCTGGTCGGATTTGTAAAGCGTATGTAGGTGTATTTAGTTGTATTTGTGAATTTTTACTTGCCCTATATTGTTGTGCGTTTTTATTTATTATGTATTAATAATACATAAATTGTTGTGTAGCATTACGCTAGTACAGAAGAGTTGAATGTAAAATCAAACTGTATGTAGATGTATTTAGCTGTATTTGTGAATGATTACTTGACCTTCACAGTTGTTCTTATTTTACTTTTTATGTATTAATAATACATGTATTCTTGTGGATTACAGTGGCTCTAGCTATTTTTTATTAAATGTATTAATTTTATTAAAATGTATGCTTATACATCTAGGTGTATTCAACCATGTTTAAATGTATAACGCTGTATATATTTGTATTGTATACTACTCTCTCTCTCTCTCTCTCTCTCTCTCTCTCTCTCTCTCTCTATATATATATATATATATATATATATATATATATATATATATATATATATATATATAGATGCAATAATATATTCAAATGTATATGAGTGTATTTTTTGTAAGTATTAATACTGGTCATATGTTTAATGATAACTTCTTTGCAGCTATGCATTATTATGTATGTCTGAAGATTGTGAATGGAGGTTTAAGGCTTCTAGCATTAACAAATCACAATTATTCAAAGTGAGAGAGTTCAATGATAAGCATACATGTCCATTGAAGGATAAGGTGTATGAGCAACGTCAGGCAAGTAGCAGCCTTATAGGTGGTATGATTAGGCCCAAGCTTACAAATCATAAGAGGAAATACACCCCAAAGGATATCATTAATGATGTGAAAACTGATTTAGGAGTCGATGTTAGTTACATGTTGGCATGGCGGGCTAAAGAAAAGGCAATGAATTTTTTGAGGGGTGAACCGGCTGATTCATACAATAAATTACCAGGATACTTGTATACAATGGATATGACATATCCTGGTTCATACATTAGAATGGTAAAATCCCCACAAAATGAGTTCAAGTATGTGTATATATCCTTGTATGCCTTTATAAAGGGGTTCGATCAATGTAGACCCATTGTGGTTGTGGATGAAAGCCACTTAAAATCGTATTGCACTGAGACTTTCGTCTCGGCCAGCACTTTGGATGGTGCAGGTGAGTATGCTGGTTATAATAAAATATTATAATGTTACTACATATCAAATATTGAAATACATATTTATAGTATGTATGCAATTTTATTTACAGGTCATATACTTCCACTAGCATATGGTATTATGGATTCAGAGAACGATGCTGCTTGGACGTGGTTCTTTGAGCAATTCAAGGAAGTATATGGTTAGAGGGAAAGCATGTGCATCATTTCAGATAGGAACGAAAGTATCATCAAGTCTGTATCAAGAGTGTATCCAACTGTACCACATTTTGCTTGTATATGGCATCTTTGGAACAACGTATATAAGAAATTCAAAAAGAGTCATTCAAAGTTGAGCGAGATATACTTCTCAATGGCAAAAGCGTACACAGAGGCTGAGTTTGACAGTCTAATGGAGAAGGTAGAAAAGGTAGATATTAGGGTGAAGGAATACTTGGAGTTAGCTGGATACGAAAAATGGGCTAGGTTGTATGCACCTGTCAACAGGGAATGGACAATGACGTCAAATATTGCCGAGTCAATCAATGCCGCACTTGTGTCAGCAAGGGAATTGCCAATATACGACTTCCTCGAAGAAGTTAGGAAAATGTTCGGACGTTGGAATTGCAGCAATCGGAAAGAAGCTCTACATACATACACAAAGTTTGGGAAAAAATACTAGGAGATGCTTACCTTGAATGAGGCAATGTCTACACGAATGACTGTAAGTTGCCTTTTATTTATGTATCTGTTTCCTATATGTATCCATGGGACAAGGTATTTAACTGTATATATTTCAAGGTAGCAATGAAAGTTGTATCCTATATTCAGTCAAGACTACTCTATAATATTCTGCCAGCATTTATGTAGTATGTATTCCAATATATTTAATGTATTTACATGTATATACATGTATGTCTTTGAATTTTGTATGTACAAATATAATTGTATCTACTATAGTTGGATTTTAATAAAATACATATTGTGATTCTTAAAACTAAATAAAATTCTAATACTATATATGAAAATTATATTTAATACGTCTATTCTTATATATATGTATGATTTGTTTTTTTAAATGTAGGTGGTGCCATCGACTGAATATTTGCATACAGTGAACGATGAAGGAAGGCATTACACAGTATGCCTTTTAGAGAAAAAATACAATTGTGGGCGGTTCCAAGTCGACGAATTACCGTGCCCACACGCTTGGGCTGTCCTGAAGAGCAAGTTTCTAATGCCAGAAGATTATTGCTCTGATTATTACAAACCAAAGTCTGTTGTAATGACATATGAGGTGCCCGTGTATCCTTTGTCGGACCGGAAAGAATGGAATATACCAGCACATGTAGCAGATGAAGTTGTTTTACCACCCAAATGAAAAAGACCTCCGGGAAGACCAAAGAAGAAGCGTGATAAGCCATTCATTGAATTGCTGCAGAAGAAAAATCAACATTCGTGTAGCATATGTGGGCAAGAAGGACATAATAAGCGTACTTGTAGAAATGCTCCACGTTGAAATTAGTTCACAATCTGACTTGTATTAATGAAAAACAATTTGTTATAGATTCCGGTGTCATTTCGAATATATTTTGGATATACTTAGTTGGTGTATTAAATCTGAATACGTAATTAAAATACGACCATTGTATCTTCATTATATATGAATATAGATGAATACAATCATTGAATACATTGAACTGATGATTCTTTTTGGAATACATATAGTACATCAGAGAGTGAATATGATTTATGAATGTTAAATACATGTATTCAAATACACTTGAATACAAATTATTACAGTCTGTTATTACAATCAGTTATATACAAAAGACGTATTCAAAATACAGCTGAATACATATCAATGCAATATATTATATAAATATGAAGGTCTAAAAACACCTGCTGAAAATATGTGAACATAACCTGGTGAATACATAAAATACAACTTAATGAATATAGATAAATATATCATGTTGAATACTGACCGATACAATAAGTTGAATACATATCAATACAACATGTTAAATACATGTATTCAAATACAGTTGAATACAAATTATGACAGTCTGTTATTACAATCAGTTATATACAAAAGACGTATTCAAAATACAGCTGAATACATATCAATGCAATATATTATATAAATATGAAGGTCTAAAAACACCTGCTGAAAATATGTGAACATAACCTGGTGAATACATAAAATACAACTTAATGAATATAGATAAATATATCATGTTGAATACTGACCGATACAATAAGTTGAATACATATCAATACAACATGTTGCATACATACTAATACAAACTGATATAAACATACCAAAACCCAACAGGTTGAAGGACAGATTAATTCAGAAGCACAAAAACAGACAATACATCGATTGGATACTTGAAATGATAATATATAAACACTGTTGATACGGTCACTAAATTAAATTGTTTTTTGCTAAACTAACGCTATCTTTACCAACACACTGTCCATGAAAAATAGTATTCACAAAAACTCCCATCAAAAACAACATTCACCTAAGACTACTCTAACATTATCTTCACCGATGTATCAGAATCGGTGATGTGCCTAAGAATCTTTGAAGGTGCTTCGCTCTCGCTTACGGCATCAGCGTCTATCTTCCGCATAGCATAGTCCCAAAGGAATGCACCATATCTTTGACGGAGTAAATGGGCATCAAATTTTACTTGTGGAACCAGCCCAACTGTGCTAAGAAACTCTGCGTATGCCGCGACATGCACCCAACAATCCCTGAAAGAATACATCAAAACATGTCATGACTCGGATTTTCCACCATCGGGAGTCATGATGGCGCCTACTGTTGGAGCTAGGAAAGCCAAACATTTAAACATTTTCGGATAACAACACAATAATAATAAAATAACGAGTCTTTAAATAAATGCGGAAGTCTTTTAAAAACATAAATAACTGAAAACCCCAAATGCAGAAGTTTAGTATTTCTCTACCCAAGACTGGAGTCGCTATCTCACGAACCACTAAAGAGTGCTACAAACAAGTCTGAATAGAAAATGCATAATGTCTGTCTCGGTACAATGAAAACAAACTGAAAACATGGAAAGGGACTCCGGCCTACGAACGCCAGCTAGGCTACCTCGTAAGTCCCTGGACTGAAGTCAGCTCCCGACCAATATCCTACTGCTGTGGTCCAAAATCTGCTCCGGTACCGTGATCTGTGCAAAAGAGCACAGAAGTGTAGCATCAGCATAACCGACCTCATGTGCTGGTAAGTGCCTGGCCTAACCCCGGCGAAGTAGTGACGAGGCTAGACAGGACTACCAAACTAACCTGTGCACTTTAATATATATATATGCAATAAAAGGAAAGAACAAAGAAATTAAACAGTTAAGAGGGAGGGAAGCATACTATGGGGGAGTACAGTCCGGATATAAGGTCAACAATTTAAGTAAGAAACAGGGCAATAACAATAATTAATGAGAGCAGAAAAGAAAAAAAAATCAATAGTTGCACGGCATCAACCTTCGTGCTTTTACTCTCATTCTCACCAAAAGCAATCAAATAAAGTGCACGGCATCACCCTTCGTGATTTCTCTCACATAACTCTAATATCATGGCGCGGAATGATCCTTCGTGCAATTATAATCAAATCAGAGCACGGAATATCCCTTCGTGCAAAAATAATCAAAACATGGCACGGAATGACCCTTCGTGCAAATATAATCAAAACATGACACGGAATGACCCTTCGTGCAAATATAATCAAAACATGGCACGGAATGACCCTTCGTGCAAATATAATCAAAACATGGCACGGAATGACCCTTCGTGCAAATATAATCAAAACATGGCACGGAATGACCCTTCGTGCATTATCACTCTTCCTCACCCAAACAGTAATCACAACCAAACGGGGCGAGGGGATAAACAAATAATAAAAAATATCCCGGCAAGGGAATTACACAATTAACAGCTAAATCCCGGCAAGGGAGCAACAACAATACTTTCACATCCCGGCAAGGGAGATAATCAATATACTCAAACCATCCCGGCAAGGGATTAATCACATCACTTTCTATTTCTTTCATTTCTTACTCAATAATCTTTTTATCGTTCGAGCCAACGCTCCAAAGAATTTACAATTTATAATTAGTCCGCATACTCTTCACATTGCATAGAATTCATCAATTAACATGGAAGAGTCATAACAATATTAGGATAAGTACATACAAGGACCCACGGTCATGCTAGACACCGGTGTATAGATACTCGTCACCATGCCTATATACCGTACTCGATCATTTAGCAATTAGCAAATAATAACACTCTAATCCTATTCCTTCAAGCCAAAGATAGATCAAACACTTACCTCAAATGATCCAAACTCGACTCAAGCATCTAGAATAGCTTTACCCCTCGAATTCACCACAAACCCGCTCGAATCTAGTCACAAATTACTCGAATGTATTAACAAATGCTAATTGAATCAGTTTGAATGCATGAAGATGAATTTCCAAAGTTTTACTCAAAAATTCCCAAAATGCCCCCGGGCCCACGTGGTCAAAACCGAGGTTTGGACCAAAACCCGGTTATCCATTCCCCCACGAGTTCATATCTATGATTTGTTTTGAAATCGCCCAAATCCCCAATTTTAAGAAAACCTAGTTCTACCCAAAATCCCCATTTTCACCCGTGGAAATCCTTGATTTTAAGATAAAAACATGTTTAATGATGTTAGAGATTGAAGAAATTAAGTAAAAGTTGACTTACAATTGATTTGGAAGAAGGTTTGTGCTTGAAAAATCGCCTATGGAGTTTGTGTTTTGAAAGAATGAAGAAAATGGGTTTAAAATTCGTCCAAGTATGAAATAACTGAGCCTCGGGTATGGGAATTGCGAAGAATAGTTCGCATTTGCGAACAACGAGCCTCCGAGCAGACTTCGCATTTGCGAAGAGAGGCGTCGCAATTGCGACTGGGCGGCCCTCGCATATGCGAAGAAATTGTCGCATTTGCGGCCCAAGCAAGGATTTCCCCTTTTCGCATTTGCGATGGAGGATCCGCAATTGCGAGTCTCGCATTTGCGAGAAATCTTTCGCAAATGCAAAAATACCAGACCTGACCTGCAATTTTTTTCCAAAGTTCAAAAATGCAACCCGCGGCCTATTCAAATCTCACCCGAGCCCTCGGGGCTCCAAACCAAACATGCACACAACCTTAACAACATCCTATGGACTTACTCGTGCGATCAAATCGCTAAAATAACATCAACATCAATGAATCAAGCCTCAAAATCATCATTTTTATTTCAAACTTCATAAACTTCCAACTTTCGATATTTAGGTCCGAAACACGTCAAATGACGTCCGATTCCGACCAAATTTTACAGAAAGTGCTTAAATCACATATAAGACTTGCATCGGGCGTCGGAACCAAAATACGAGCCCGATATCACAGTCTTTTGATCAAATTTCCTTTCCATTTTCCTTAATTAATTTCAGAAAACAATTTCACACAAAAATTCATTCCTCGGGTTTGGGACCTCGGAATTCGATTCCGGGCATACGCCCGAGTCCCATATTTTTCTACCGACCCTCCGGGACCGCCAAATCACGGGTCCGGGTCCGTTTACCCAAAATGTTGACCAAAGTCAACTTTAATCATATTAATATCAAAATTTATCAATTTTTACACAGAATTCATATTTAAGTTTTTCCGGCTACGCGCCCGGACTGCGCACGCAAATCGAGGCAAGTAAAAATGAGGTTTTTGGGGCCTCGGAAGCACGGAATGAAAGAGAAAACAAGTGACGAGCCTTTGGTTCGTCACATTCTCCACCTCTAAAACAATCGTTCGTCCTCGAACGGACAAAAGAAAGAAGTACCTGAGTCGGGAAATAGATGAGGATAACGGCTCCGCATATCGGACTCGGACTCCCAAGTCGATGCCTCAGGAGGCTGACCTCTCCACTAGACACGCACTGAAGGAAAACTCTTCGACCTCAAGTGTTGAACCTGCCGGTCTAGAATAGCTACCGGCTCCTCCTCGTAAGACAGATCCTTGTCCAACTGGACAGTGCTGAAATCTAACATGTGGGCTGGATCGCCGTGATACCTCCGAAGCATGGACACATGAAACACTGGATGCACGGCTGACAAGCTGGGCGGCAAGGCAAGTCTGTAAGCCACCTCTCCCACACGATCGAGGATCTCAAATGGGCCAATGAATCTAGGGCTAAGCTTGCCCTTCTTCCCAAATCTCATCACGCCCTTCATGGGCGACACTCGAAGCAAGACTCGCTCGCCAACCATGAAAGCTACATCTCGAACCTTACGATCCACATAACTCTTTTGCCGTGACTGAGCCGAATAAGCCTGTCCTGAATGATCTTG